AACATTGATATTCTCGTTATCATTGTTATCATAGTCCGTCTTATCACAGTTTCATGAGATATGACGTCATGGATTCTACAAAAAAATTGTCCTGGTAAGAGCCATTCGTTGTCTGCACGGTGTCTATAATGCGATAATGTAAATAGGCCAGTTGCATTATAATAAAAACAAAAATGACTGAATGCAACAACAGACTAGTGCTACTATCTAGGGGRAAAAAAAGAAACTGAATAGGCCGGTTTTGCTTTTATATTAATTACACAATTTTGAATAACGTGGTACAGTTGTTTCAATTTTTCATTTTTTGTGGTTTAGGCCACTTTTGCGCTCAACGCCTYATATATAGGTACAATATACAAAACGTATAAAAAAAAACCAATAAAGACATCTCCATTTAAAATGAATACAAAACATGAATTCCTTCCTAACCAGCTTTAATAATGACATTATCCTATAACTATTATGATTTTATATAATACTATATTTACATATCAACTTCATCTTGATTTGATCAAACAATATTATTTAACCAAATGCATTAAATTATAACGTAACAAAACCATACATCATTTAAATTGACTTTAAAATCTGATAAACTAGGTAATAAGTTACAGTTACAATATAATTTGTATTCATCTCAAAAATCATGCTATTAAGATTTGTTACATAAATAATAAATATGTATCAATGTATCATTAAGTTTGCAATTAAAACAACATTAATTTATAACCAATCAATAATCATCATTTAAAACTAAGCCAAGTATACAACTTACATTCTGGGGCCATCTACATAAGTTATATAATATAATATCCATTTAGTTAATAGTAATATAAATAAATTTGTTAAGTATAAAATAATTTAAACAACAACATACAGTTTGAAATTGTATTATAATTAAATATCTACAGGGACCATCATTTAATAGCATAGTGTTCGGTTAGTTAAACACCAAATACCTATCAAGATTAAATAAAATGTTAAATAAATGTGGAGAAAATTGAAAAAAAAATTAATATCGCACAACATATATTTATTATTATACACCTATATTTTCTTAAATTTTCGACAATAACTTACAAATTATCAAGTGGTAATCAGAAAATAATTAAAATTAAATATAAGCAGACATTGGACAGCTACATTTATGCAAATTATAATTATTATTTTTATTTTAAAGTTACATTTCAATGATTATGCAAAAAATTGATTTTGAGTATTACATTCATCTCAGAATCTAAAATAAAAATATCATAATTAGGCTATAAAGGAACCAGAAAAAAAGATCAGTTTAATATTAAATCCAAATTGACTGAAACTGAACATCAAAAAACCATTTAACACTAAGAAAGCCTCACAATTTAGATATACCTAAGTGAAATATAACTTGTTCGGTTTGAATCATATTGTATAAGTAAAAAGTGTACTCTAACCAATTATGTGTATTATATTATATTAATAATAAAAGGATAAAAAAAAATTGCAAATATCACCCAACATTTCTAAAAATATAGAAAATTACGACTTATCAACAAATATGAAGCTCAGTATCTTATTGAGGCTCTGCAGAATCAATACATTTTTTTTATAAATATTACTTAAACACTTGATAAACATAATTACATTTTTAAAAGTATAAAGATTGATGCTCAACTGATACAAAAATAATTTATTTATAAATTAAAATATAATTTCATTTTTAAAACCAAATAACAAGAATTACCCATGTTATTTCTCAGGTGTATATCTATTACTTATAGATACATTAATTATTTGGAATAAATGTCATTTGTTGAAACTGCTTAATAATTACATATACATAAAAATATATTGGCATACTTTGTATCATGTGGTTAATCTCTGGGTAGGGTATATATACAGGCATAATTAATTTAAATGAAATAACCAAAATTAATATGAGTAAAGCATACATCAATTGGACAAAAAATAAAACCAAAAGCTTGTTCAAATTCTTATTTTAAAGGATGTCAGCACACTATTTGTTTTTTGCTCTTATACAGACTTGCAAGCAGATTTTAGTTCAGCAGAACCAGCTTTTTATTGTTATTTTTTATATTAGAATGAACTGACCAGACTTTTAACTCAAAATTATTGAACAAAAAATTGAGAAAATTATCCATCATTGTGAATTTTAAATAATCGATAACACAGTATACAATACTTATGTTAATTTTATCAAGAAACATATTTAACTGTGTCAGTTAAAACTAACTAGACTGGTATTTAAGCAGCATACAAGATTCATCCAAATAATATATAATATAAATTAGCACAAATTACATATTAAACATATTAGGTAGGTATCCATATTATTCTTATCTTAATAATATGTATTAATTCACACTAAAAATATGAGATGTCTTGAGGTTTACCTATATGAAAACCACACAAACATACTAATTAATACTTTTATTTACAATTAATACTTGCCCAAATAYAAGCCATGCCTACATAAAAAAAAGATTTATATTATCCCTATCAATTATGCATTTGCAGGGATCTATAAATAATAATTGTAAGTAAACAAACAAATAAGTATTTTTTTTTTWTTATTTGGTCTTCTCTTGGTGTTTAACACAAATTCCTGTCAGTCAATAAAAAAAACAACTATAATTCTAATCTGATATTATACAGGTTGTCCCGTGAGGATTTACTCATTGCAATATCTCCCGAAATAATGGTGATATCGAAATCCTGGTTTTGTAATAAGACTCACAGGGATAAGAATTACGATTATTTCATATTTTAATTGATTTTAATGTTTTGGTAAAAAAGTATATAATACTCATTTTGTAGAGTTTATTTTTCTGAAGATATTGACGTTTCAAAATTTTATTTTCATTAATTTCCTGATTTTTAATATTTTTAACCTAACCTAACAAGTTTCGAGAAAAATTGCGAATTATTTAACACCGTAATGTTATCCAACATGTGACCCGCCACCCCGCGCTCATTCCCATTCAACCGGCTGAATTATACCTTTCGTGTTCCTAATACTCGTAGTTATAAATTATAATCATATTTTATTTCTTCAAAACTAGAAAAARWATTWAAAATCARRAAATYAATRAAAATAAAATTTTGAAACGTCAATATTTTCAGAAAAATAAACTCTACAAAATGGCTATCTTTAATATTTTTGGAAATAATTAAATAAAAAAATATATTTTTTA